TGGGATCGATATGTAAAATAAGAAAAATAAATAAAGACAAAAAATAAAAAAATATATGGGTCAATTAAGTTATAAGAGATAGTTGGGAAAAAGCCTAAGCTAAGACCAAGCTTTCATAATTAATAAAAAGTCTCCAGGTCATTATTTGCTGGCTGGCAGTCCAAGAAAGTCTGACAAGAAAGCTTGCTACCTGAAACCTCCTTTCAGGCTCTGAATAGATAGATAATGCTGACACACTGTTACTAGCACAGATTTCTTTTAGCCTGGAGAGTGTCTCCATACTCTTCTGTGTACCCTTCAAAATGGTCTCTTAATTAAAGTCAACTTTATTTATATAATTTGAATATGTCATTATTCTTTAGCTAGGATTCATACTGAGACAACCAACAATTTTATAGCCTTAAGCAGCTCTCTTGATCTTCTTGCCCTCAATTTTTTCCTCTATGAAATGGGGACAACTTTAATGTCTTCTGTAGAGAGGGTTTTCTTGAGAATAAAACAAAGCTTTGAATATGAGTGCCTTCCCGTGCATCGTAAGCCTTCAGTAAATGTTATGGTAATGCTATGACTAGCAGGAAGATGTTCAAACACTATTTTAATGCAACTCTAAGTCACTTCCTTCAACTTGGGTTAGGTTTTAAGTCACAAGTCAATAAAACAAGAAGCAAAAAAAAAAATCCCTTAAAAATCCATCAAGTCACCTATCAGAGAGCATACAGTTGATTTTTACACTGATATTGGAGAATACACGAGCTTGACTTAAGATAGATCTATGTGCAAATGTCACAGCATTCTACTGTCTCTTTAGTATGGACTCCTGAGGAGACAGACCAATGCAACACTAAAAAATATCCCCAGTACATCTAGGGGTGGCCTTGTTCCATTCTCAGAATCAAGGCTCCTTCTACTTACTGCTCTCTGGGGACTTAGGGATTGTTGTGAGGGCTAAAGGAGACAGCAGGTCATACTTTGGATTAGGGAGGGTGGCTTCACAAGTGAGCTAAAAATAGTAAATGCAATTTAGTATGTGTACTTGCGTGCATGTGTCTGGGAGACTTTTTGATGTATGAGGCTAAGATCATTGTATGTGTTATTCTATCTAATCCTCATGACAACTCTGAGATGGCCATTGTTGTTGCTGTGGTTTGAATCTAAAATGTTTCTCATGGGCTTATGTTTTTCAATACAAAGTTCCTTGCTTTGGAGACCATAGAACCTTCACTTGGTAGAGTCTGGTTGGATTACTGAGAAGGCTATACCTATGCTTCATTCACATACATATTCTACATTCTGTATATAAAAGAAATCATCTAATACTTATCTTTCTGAGTTTGCTTTACATGATGATCTCCAGTTACATCATTTCTCTGAAAACTATGCAATTTCATTCTTTTTTTATGGCTGAATAAAATTCTATTGTGAATACATGCCACATTTCCTTTATTCATTCATCTGTTGATAGAAATCTACGCTGCCTTCATACATTGGCTACTTTGAATAGTGCATCAATACACATGGGCATGTGTCATCTCTGTGGAAGTTTTCTTAAGACCTCTTTGCATGTGTCATGTGCATGTGTGTATTCAAGATTGACACAGTGAAGTCATATGGTTTTTCTATTTTTACTTTCTCGAGGAACTTCCATACTGATCTCTATAGTGCTTACACTGATTTGCATTCACTTTAGCAGTGTCTTCTCTGGTGTCTCTAGCAGCATTGCTTATCAATCATTTGCTTTCTTCATGATAGTCGTTCTCACTAGGATGATGTGGCTTTTAATGTAGTTTTGAGTTTTCCTAATGGGTAAGATGTCAAACATCTTTCACATATTTATTGGCCATCTGTACTTTAGAAAACTATCCAATTTACTTGCTCAGTTCACCTGCTTTTACCATGAATCTTTTGGTGTTTAATTTTTTAGTTCTTTATAGATTCTAGATATTCTCCTGCCAGATGTGTTGTTGGCAAAGATTTTCTTCCACTCTGTAGGTTTTTCTTCACTTTGTGAAGTTTTTCAATTTCATGCAGTCCTATCTGCCAGGTCTTGTTACTTCCTGAGATGCTGGGGTCTTTTTCAGAGAACATGCATATGCTGAGATCTTGAAGTGTTTTCCTCTGGCAGTTTCACACGTTTAGGTTTAGGTTTTGCGCTAAATATCTCTGGTCCGTGTTGAGTGGGTTTGGATGAAGTGGGAGATAGAGACCCAGATTTACTCTTGTATATGTGAATATTCAGTTTTTACCTGGTATTGTACCAAATCATTTCTAGACTAACAAAACCAAAATCTCAAGAAAGCAGCCCGAATATTACTAGTTCAGACCAAACCAAATCAATTCTCTATCAGATTATCTTATTTCACATCATACTGAGTGTTCACAGGATTGGGGGGGGGCATTGACACAGAACCAGTTTCTTCTGAGTCAGAATTGCCTGTGGCATAGTCCACATGATTAATAGACCTAATTCCCTAGGCAGCTGAATGCAGAAGTTTCTCTAATGCAGGAGGTGATGTTGAGGCACCCAGATACAGTTATTTACAGAAAAAGTGGCAAGCCAGGGCCACTGTAACTATCTAATCCTGCATGCCTAGTGATTCAGTCATTTCACCTGAACCCTCTAAGGTCCTCACCATGGAAAACATAATTAAGAATGATTTGCAATGAGATTGTCTTTTTTTTTTTTTTTTTTAAATACAAACAATTTGATTGCTTTCCTCTCCCCATCTTTTAACTTGTTCTGTGTTTGTGGGCACCAGGAGCCTGCTGATAGCAGTCTTGGTGAGTGGTGCAGCTGAGCCCTCTGGAGCTATATGGATGCTGAGGGTAACCATTATATAGCAGTTCATTTAAGGCTCTGCTTAAAGGGGATGCTGGCCATAGAGCAGCGCTTCAGGGGTTCTGAATGAATATCCAGCCTGGGGGAGATTCTTACGGCTTTGTTCTCCAGCTGCAACCTCAGCAGAAAAGTGAGGAAAATCCCTTAAATAGTAAATGACAACCTCAGATGCAAAGTCACAGCCTACAGGGTGTCTGAGCATGCCAAGTGCATTACCAAGTTTCAAAATGCCAGTTAAAAGCCAAGTCTGTAGGGACAATCAAAGATTTTATTCTTGAAAGAAAATGCAAGTTAAAATAATTCTGAGTCATCAAAAATATTTTAGTTTTCACGTGTTATGTGTATGTGCACTAGGAACATGTAGGGACCTGTGGAGGTCGGAAGAGGGTGTCAGATAGCCAGGAATGGAAGTTACAGACAGTGGATGCTAGGAATCTAACGTAGGTCTGCTGCAAGAGCCTTCTCTCCAAACCGGAGTCATCATCTTTAGACTCTTGGGCCGAACAGAACATAGATCAATGGTCAATGTACTTGCTAGATACAAAACAGGAGAGGGTAGCTAATTTAGTCCCAAGAAACAATCCTCTAAGGACCTTAAAATTAGCCAAACCTTTTCTTTTGGTTTTTGAGGCAAGGGGGTTACTCTGTAGCACAGATTGTCTCAAACCCAAGAGCTCCCCACCTAAGCCTGCCCAGCGCTGGCTGGGATTACAGCCATATATCACCATGCCTAGTTTAGCCGAACCTCTTTCATTCAGTTACTTATCTTCGCATGGTGAGATAGATGGTGATACCCCCCCTCCCAATTTGCCTCTGATGGAAAGAGGCCAGGGTGGAAGAGAAGGGCTTTTCCTGGTTAGGATTCTAGAGGGGGCCACAAGGAGAAAAGACACTAGAATGCTAGGGTTCTGAGATCCTTTTCAGAAGAACCTGGTAAGCCCCGAGTGAAGGCTCACACCTTTTGACATCTTTGTTTACACTTTGCAAACCTCTCAAAAGAGTATGTTTAATTCTAATCACGGCCCTGCAAAGGGGGATGTTTTGAGTCTCATTGCCCCACATAGAAAAGGAAGGTTTTGCCTTCCAGGTGGCCACAGGGTCAGAATGTGGGTGAGCTGTAGGTGTCTTCTGTGTCTCGGTTGCCAAGATAATAAAAGCTACCCGCGGAACGTGTCATTATTATGCAAAGCTGGGCAGGAGGCTTGGACTCTCCCTTGCAGGAGCCCATCTGTCTCTGTGCGCCGCCCCCTAGACTCTGAGGCCTGTGAAAACTGAGCCGGGTGGGTGAAGATGAGTCCCCAGCCTTGGCCCTCACACTTTGTCTGCGCCTTCCTAGCCTGCGCCCTCCAGGCAGTCCTCTTTCGGATTAAAAAAACAAAACAACCGCTCTAAAATTATGTCCTCCCTCACACCCGCCCCACCCCGGGGAATCAAATTAATATTAATCTAGATGAATAATTGAATGCCCGAGATTTATTCGGGCCTTGGCGAAGGAGGACCCGCAGCTGGGTCTCAGTTCCATCCTGCCACTCGAGGGTTTCTGCAGCTAGGATTCTGTGGTACTCCCTATCCCAGAAGTGGTACATTGAGGGTGGGTGTGCCCGCTTGTGTGAACCGGAGCAGGTGTCCAGGGAGTAATGGGGAGCGCCAAGGCTTCTCCAAGGATTGGGGACGGAGGGGCATCCCAGGTCTCAGCGCTTGGCCCAGCAAAGGGTGACCCGGGGCCACTCAGACTCGAGAGGGAACAATAGAGACTCCTTAGATCCTGGGCTCCTGCCACCGGCTGTCCAAAGCTTTCCCGGACTACCGGAGGGCCTTTTTTTTTTTTTTTTTTTTTGCTAATTTATGGCTGGAAGCTGGAGGGGGAGGAACGACAGAGGAGGGACAGCGTCTGAAGATGGGGGCAGGGGCGACGGTTAAAGAAGTCGCCCCAGGCTGCGCGGGTGATGTCAGCTCTGGACAAAAATAGAGAGGGATCGCCTGCAAATCCCCAGCTCCGGTGGGGCTAAACCTTGCAATCCCTCCCGGGCCGGCGCCGAGCCAGGGCGCAGCGGCCTCCACCGCCTCCCCCGGCGCGCACACACCAACACACGCGCACGCACGCATACACTCCCCCGCACTCGCACTCCGGGTCTTTCCTGCTGCCCCTCGTTGCGGGCCACTCGCCGCACCCGTTTGCCCTGCGAGGTGAAGCACACACAGGTGGCGGCTGGAACGTGGGGAGCGCGTTCCTGCAGCCCTGCGGTCAGCGCGATCTCACAAGAGCCAGTGTGGGATCCCCGCAGCGCCCCATCCGAGCGCTGGCCGCGAGCCTCGCACGGGAACGCGGACCGCGCGCGGTGGAGAGCCGGGACGTGGATTAGCGCCCGCAGCAGCCTCCCGCGCGCGCCGAGGCGCTAAAGGGCTTACCCAGGAGGGGGGTGCGAGGGCGGGGAGAGGCTGCCCGTTAAATACCGCTCCCCGCCGACTCCGGGCTCACCCAGCTCGCCGCCACCGTCGCCAGACCGTGCCCGGGAGGAGGGGGCGTTCCCCGCGCCATGGCATCAACGGAAGGGTGAGAGGGCTTTTCTGGGTACCTGCGAGGAAGCGGGAGCCGCGCGCGGGGTGGTACTGTCTTATACCAGATGGAGCCAGAGAACTGTGACTCCGGACCTTTGAGACCACAGCAGAGCGACAACCAGGCTGGAGGAGGTGGTGGGCAAGGGGTCAGATTTCTTTGGTGAATTAGCTGTCCTTTTAGGATTGATTCTAAGGAACTGGCGAAGTACTATGGGGGTGTGAAAAAAGTGTGAAAAGAAACCCTTTGGAGGTTATCTTAGAGATATAAAGACAATTAAAAGATTGTCAATGGTGCCAGGAGACACTGTCTGGGCTGCAAGGTGGGGACCCGTTGAAATGAATGAGCCAGGACCAGAGCCCGGGCGGGGCGAGGAGCAGCTCGTGGTCTTGAACGCTTTGGGCGCGGGTGGGAGGTGATGGCGAGCCCCTGACCCATGAGATCTCTACCCTTGTCCTTCGGAATCTCCCTGGCCAGCAGCAAGGAAGGGTCTAAGAGATTTGGGTGCTTCCCGAGAGGTGGGGAGAAAACCTGTAGCTTGGAACAGGGCAAGAGTTTCCAGACTCTATTGGGAATATTACTGGCTTCTTTATTTTGCCTGTGGCCTTGGAGCCTCCACTTGTCTCTTGAGGCTACAGTTGGCATGGTGATCGCTTCTGCCATATAGAAGGACAACTGTATTTAGCAAAGGGGACATGGGGGGGGTACAAGGGCAACAGAACAGAGTCCCTTGAATACTCACTTCAAGGCATCCTAGTCCTCTCTCAACAAACAAACAAACAAACAAACTTACTTTTCAGGCTTTCGGGAGCCTAGGAGAGAATCAACAGAATGATTGTGGACCCCAACTTTTAGGTTATTTCACAAAAAGACACGAGCTGCTTGCAAGACTACATGAGATTTCCAAAGCAAATAAGGGGGCTTCGCCGGACTCTACAAAGAGTTCTTGGTTCTGGTATTTTCTGGAGCATTTTTAATAGAAATCACCAACTTTCAGTGAGGTGGTGGGTGGTGGATCTCTAAGCAGGAGTGGAGGGATGGTGTTCAAAGCCAGACTTCTAGATTCCAACCCCAGACAGGAAAATACTTCCAAAACTGTCTCCAAGAGAAAGAATCTATCCATCCATTTCTCTCTGCCCTGGAGTCCTACCAGAGGTGCCTGATATCTTGTCTAGCATGAGATTTCTTCACATGGCCCTATTTACTAGTGTGGACCTTTGAAATGGTTACTTATCCAAAAGGATATTTCAAGTTGTTACTTGTATGCAAGGAAGGGGGTATCTTGTATTCAAACACATCTCTAGAGTAAACCCACATGGCTTAGCATCAGCACCTCTTTGTACAGGACTTACAAGGTGCTCATCTTATAACAGATATAAAGGTATCTATGGCTACCCAAAGGCCTTCGCCTTCTAGAGTTACTTCAGCCTTCAGAGTCTCAGTTGGAAGACCTCTTTGAAAAATACTGCCTTCCAACCACTGCGTCTAACAGACCCTCTATTCTGATGGCCAGGGAGTAGTTAGAGAATACAAAATCCCTCAAATGGGCTGCTTTTTCCTTCATTCTGAAAGAGGGCTGCTGAATGGTTTGACATTTAAAGTAAACAGATGTGATTTTCAGGACTGAAAGCCAACTCTAGTCCAATTACTGCCATCTTGGTGCATTGTGCAAGGTTAGGGAATGAATGTCCAAGGCGCTTGTGTTTAAGAGATTAAAGAATTGGAAAAAAAAATCTGAAAACTTGGAAACAAATGTAGAAAAATATGTTATTTATTTAAGAGCAGTAATTGGTCAGCTGGAGAGATTCTCAACCCTGCTTTTCCCCCAGAAGCCTTTGCAGAATCTCTGTTGGGTAGAATGCACCTGCTAGGCACTCTGGTGGAGATAGAGAGACACAAATAGCCTTGGATATGACTTCCAGAAGGCTTTCTCAGGGGAGGACTTTCATTTCTACATTGTTCTCGTGGTTTGGTGAGATCTGTTTGCTCTTCTGATATATCTGGGTAATGTACCTTCAAAAGGAAATTGAGGAAGAGTCCCCAAGCTGGTCTCTTTTGTTAGTCTTTGTCTTCTAACAATATTAAAGCTGTTTTTCTGAAATATACATTGCTCAGAGAATGCCAAAATAGTACTGTAATTACATGCTTTCAGTTTATACATGTTCAGCTCAACTGTACTCCAGAATGCTGGGGAGTGGGGTGACATATTAAAACAATCGATCTGGCAAATGTTTATTTGGTGATCAAGTTGCCATCAGCAGCATGTGCTAATTACTACTTTCTATAGAGTTATTAGAGGCAACAAATACATTTGTTTAGCACTTATTTCAAAGCTTATTTTTATATCTTTACATTCACTTCTTTCAATAGCTTTGTGAAGTAGGCAATCTAATGAAAATAGACTTGAGAGTTAAAGAAAAAAAAATGTGTACAATATAATGCTATCTTTCCAGGAAGATTCTGGGATTTGGCAGAGCTTTGGGCTATCATCTGGCAATGTCAGTTAACAGTAATGAGTGTGTGAGGCATGGCTGGCGCCTATTGTCGTCTTTCTCTAGAATCGTTGTATGCATCCCTGACAAATTGCCTTTTAGAATATTTTTATATCTTATGAATTTGATCATTGCCTTTTTACAGACCATACCCACCACTGTTTGGTTATCTGAAGTTTCTGACTATGTAGCCCTGGGAATAGCAGCATGACTTTTGTAAAATTCAGCAGTAGCTCTTATAGTTTCCAGGTTCTGATAAGTGTATTGCTATAAAAAGCAAGGTTCAGTTTGACAGCTGCATGTCTTTTGTTGTTGTTATTGTTGTTGTTCCTGAGTCCTAGGCATGGCTGGAATTACTGAGATGGCTTTTAGGTTCCTGACCCAAATTGGAAAGAGATTATAAGTCGCTGGTGACAGGCAGGCTGGTGTCTGTTATTGACTGGGTCAAAGTGGAGTGGCCAGATGCTGAAGAGACAACATTTTAGAAATATGGTTCTAAGGGCTAGGAATGGCCAGGTCCCCACATATATCAGAGACTGCTGGCAATCCATCTTGTGATCAGCTCCCAGGAGCCAAGGGGTCAGGGTTGCACCAATCAGGAGGGCTTGGGTGTCAGTCTGACTCAGAGAGCAAGTGAAACAGAAATCTGCTGACAGCGAAAAAGCCCTGCCAAGGGAGACCCCTGAATTTATGATTCCCAGCACACGATGCTAAACATAGCAATTTCCTTACTCCTCCCATCCCCGAAAATGAAATTGAAGGGAGCAGGAAGATGAGCTTGCAGAGTGGGCTTATTACAGGGTGAGTGGAGGGCAGAGGAGATGGGGTCTAGAAGGGCTTGCATATTGTATGCCTCAGGCTCCACTGGAATTCATTTCTCATTTTCAAGACTATAGAAATTGTCTTCCTTGGGTAAAATGGATATAAGTGGAGCTGTGATAATTCCATGTTTGCCAAGGCAAACATGAGCAGTTGAAAGCTTAATTCTCCAGAAATAATTTCTAAATCCAAATGAGACTTGCAAAGTAGAAATGGCAGCTTATCACAAACCAAACAGCAGGTTTGAGTCTCAGACCCAATGGTCATATTGTTTCCCCTTTCCATTGTACAATGACGTATCTTTCTCCTTTGGCTTCTGCACTTAGCGAGGTGTCAGGACCTTCAGAGATGAGACTCTGGCCACACAAACAAGCAATATTCATGTAGCACTCCTGGGCAGTGTGCTATAGATTTTTCAATTCCAGATATGCCTGGCTTCTTCACAGTTTGAAGCTCAAACACAGGTTAATTTCTTGACAGTTCCCTGTGCACCTTCTCCCCTAGCTTTATCAGAGGTAAAGATGTCTGAATTTCCCTCCTTTGAAGGCAAGCTAAATTGTTTTCTATAGTGATTTGTCTCTCCCACTGGATTGCCTTGTCTTTTGGAATGAACTGAATCTTCATTTCAATCGCCTGCTATCATTTTCATCTAATGAAACATAGATAACTTAAAATCCTCTAGCATTAGTAGGTAGAAGCACAGACTGCAGAATAAAAAGTCTTAGGTTTGCATTTCAAGAACTTGTCCTCACGGTTTGAACAATATACAGTGCTGGCTTGCCCACAGTCACCCCTTCCCTGCCCTTAACAGCCTGTTGTGGGGCAGAAGGCATACTTTGTAGAAAGGGTTTGGAATCCAGATTACAGCAAATCTCTTTATTTATTAGGGCTGTGGGATTGCTCTCCCCTCCCTCTGCCAGCCCCTCACCCTGCAGCGCCAAGTCCTTGGAATGAATTAATTAGGGGGGGGTTGTTTAAAAATATCTCATGATTCCATCTCCACGTGCTCTGTTATTGATTGGAGGCAGATGGGCTGCATATTCATCAGCAGAGGAGAAAACAACTGTTATCTCACTATGAACCTGTCTTGGTTCAAATAACACCAGAGAAGACAATGGGCCCTGGCTACACTGATAGTGATTGAAAGCAGCCTTAACATATTAAAGGGTATACCTTTTTTTTTTCATAGTTTTGTTGCATTTTCAATGACACTGATATTTTCTTTCATTTGTTCACTTAATAAATGTCTCACTTAGACCTGCAGATGTGTTCACTGTCTGCTGAAATGTCAGCTGGGGTTTTTGGTGATGTCACCAGCTGTCTTGGATTATAAACTCATTGAAAAAGGACTGGCCTTTGAAATAAGAATGAAGGGAATGAACTCCACTTGGGCAGCTGGACTTGATCTGTGTCAACCACAGTCCCTGCTAGGATGGATGATGGCAAAGACCTTGTATGCAGTCCTTGGGGACAAAGAGGTAGATATTGTCCCTGTGTGTCATGTACATTAAAGGACTCATTTAAATGGCAGGCAGGACTTTCTTTTGTTACATTGGTCAGGATGACCATCTGTCATTTGCTGTTCCTAATCTGGCACGGGGATTTGAATCACATGCTCCCACTCCTGGTCCCCAGCCTCTGCTTTCTCTCAAGATCATAGAACTGGAGTCAGACCCAGAATCTCTA